TTATGCTAATTTCTTGGATTGCTTGGGTCAGGTCTTTATCTGTGATCCGTGTAAAAGACGAGGGTGATTTTTGGGCTAATTTTTCCGTCATAAAGAGTCGATTTATACACAGATAAATATGGTAATACTTCAACGATAAATGTAAAGCATGGCAAACAACGAAATGATCAGTGTCTAATCATGAACTAGCTCTTTGTCAATGACAAGTTTGCAAAATTAATATTGGAGAAGGGTACATTACTTCATACAACAGTTACTATGAAACCATCATACTGAAAAATATGGCGACTGCTACACTCAACCAGAACTCTTTGTGCAAGAAAATCCTGGAACCAGTCATAAAAACAAGCAGTAAAGGTCTGAAAAATTTAAACCTTGCATATCTTGTTGTTTTGTGAAATATTGCTTTCTACATGTGCCTTAGCCTACATGTAAAAGTAATGGTAAAATGTACAGGTGCCATCTTTGTCTGTCAGTGGATTGAATCTATTGGGTGAACATTAGAAAAATAATAATATTGATACAATTAAAATGAGGGTTAAGTATAGGTATGGTGTGGTTCAGTTTCATCCTTAGTTTAAATCTTTTACTTTTAATAGAGGCCAAATTGATGGTGACACATCATCTCATCATAACTTACACCCTTGGAGCTACATTTTATCTTTCTTTACACAAAATACATTTTCATTCATACCATTAACAAAACCAAAGGAAAATTATGCTTACACCAAAGACAAAAAATAATCACAACATTTACCTTTTCATAACTAGTGCATAATTTTCCAAGAAAATGTTTACAATAGAGCTTACCACCTCATTGGCACTTTTGTTTACTTTTGCTGCTGGTTGTCATCCATGCCTGCATGTATGAAATTAAGTAAGGGTGAAAAGATTAGTATTTTCTTTAATTGCAAAGATAGTTGCAGCAAGTGTCTCCACTAATATATAGATCACCAAAGGCTCACAATGAAAGCCAACAAGACCAAGTTCTTGCTAACACATGTAGGAGCAATAATTGCTAATAATAAGCAATAGTCTGCACTGAATTAAGTATTCAATTGTAACAGAAAGAAAGTGGCATACATCAACCACTGATTTCAATGAAAAAGCACATGTTATTAAGTGAAGAGTAATTTTGCTGCAAATCTGGCCTCTTCTGGGCGAGCAAAGAGAATGATTTAATGCATTGTAACCCAACTGTTTCTTGCTGGAGAGCATGGGAGAGAGCACCCTATCCTTTATAAAAGATACCAGATCTTTATCATTACGTGTCAACAGTTTGTGAGTTAACTTTCCAGGATATATGTCTGACATCAACCATACCAGAGGTTGAATTTTTGCGTAGTCCCATACAATTACAATGAATACATGTCTTCAATTGTATCCATAATAACCATCAATGTAGACACTATGAGATTGCTACATGTAACATAATAAAAATTATAATGAGGCTGGAAGAAAATCACAAATTTTCGGTCATTGAAACACGGAGATCTGTCTCGTTTTTTAATTATTTATCATCTAGTTTTGCATGTCCCAGACAAAATAATAAAAAAAAAATCATCCCTCGACACAGAAGGATTCAATGAATCCAGGTTAGTAGTTACTCGGACGCTTTATCGGTATACATCTGAAAGTATTTAGCCCGAAACTTGAACGCGATCTTTGAAGAATGGTTGTAATATTTAAATTTAACAAAAATACTAGCATGAAGTGCAACCGAAACCTTACCTTACCGTACTAGTTCCGACAGAAAAGCACAATTTCGATCACCAACGCACTCCAAACTAATAAGGGAATCGAAGCCACGAGGCAACGTCAAATTCTCGTCTTCCCAAGCTTTCCAACGTATCGAAGAAAATTTCGCCAATAATTCGCGCTTAAAAACGCAACCAGAATCTTAATCTTTCACCGATCCGAACTGTCCCAAACGACACCAAGGATAGCTCATGAAACAAGGATATCCCGTGGAAATTTTTTACCTTCGAGCGCGGAAAGCTTAACGATCTTCTTTCAATTAATATTTTTTGCATTGCATCCCTCCCCTAGTTGGGAAGTGACAAGCAAGAGACACGTTCACAACGCCTTTTGATTGGAAGAAACAAAACCACATTCTATTGGTTATTAGTTGTGAAGACATAACTGTAACGGAAGACACAACTGCAACGCTACAGAGGTAAAGGAGAGGCGGGGCATGGATCAGAGGGTATTGTTTACCTTGTTCCAGTCCCTCATGGTCGTGAGTTCAAAGTTCACAAGTTAATAAATTAAATGTAAGTTCTTCGACGACATCCTCGGTCTCAAAAGTTCTCATTCAAACCCTAAGCACTTAATTACGTAAGAAAATAAAGCATCGTGTTTGTTTGGAGATCGAGAGAAGGAAAAACAATCACCTTAAAAGCCAGGTTAGGAAAAAAAATTACGGCATCAAGACTCATTACTGCTTTAAGTTTCGGGTCTATTTTGATGCCAATGTTTGGTTTAAAAAATGTATCTGTAAGCATGATTTTGAGGCCTTGACCACCGATGTACTGCAGGTCTCAGACATTTTTTTCAACCACATCTCCAGGGAATGAAAGTCACATGCATGACCTATGACCATAGCGAACTCAGTTACTTTTAGCGATGAAGGGCTAACCGCTAACGCTCGAAACGTCAGCTTTGAAACTCTTTACGGTGGCGAAACCACATTATCAAGCCAGTTGATAAAACCCAAATCACCTTGTCACTCACCGACGCAACACCACAGTTTCTTTAGAAACTTGCCCGCTTTATTAATTTACCTAGAAAGCTCTCGTTCCTGCTCCTCGTCACGTGGATTGGAATAAATGAAGTGTTTTAATCCTATCAAAACACCAATGACGCGCGCTAAGCGCCGTCATTTCCCTAAAAACGAACATTCCTGCACACTCCTTTCTTTCCTGTGAACCCTTGGCTCTTTCCTTCTCTCCGATCATTAAACAGGAAAAGTTGAAATTACGGTATAGTCTTACATACTCTAAATGGCTGTAATAACTAAATGGCTGTACAGGAAAAGTAGAATATATAGTGTACTAGAAATTTCTCTAAATAACTTCATATCACCGAAAGAGAAATGCGTGCCAACTTCTCCCTCTTTTCCTTAATTTTGTTTTTAATGGACACGTCCTCTCGTTTGTAGTTTCTTCTTGTATTTTCTGGGTTGCGTGTCGATATTTCATTTATGAGAAATGATAAACATGTCATTTATTCCAGGATTACGAAAAAGTGTCTGGGATAATTCTGTTATCTACCCGGAATGAAAAGTGACACATATGTCGGTAAGACCCCAACAATGAGATATCTTCCTTGATTCAAACACCTCATTAGGCGAAAATGTCACTTGACCAAATGGCACACGCTCACTCAAAAGGTCTCTCTGACCTTGCCTGTAAGACAAAACGACTCGAAAGCTCCTCTGAACTATAATTAGTAATTAACGATTACAAAGGACAAAGACTATTTAATTTCTGCATCTAAATATGGAACAAAAAAGTGGTTTCAAATGTGACCTGTCAAGTGATCTTTAAGAAATCTACACGTTACTAGCAGGTGATTTTGCCTTAGCAGCCCTTAATTGACAATCTTCCAAATTATTTTCTACTCTTTCTTTCACTTATAATGTTTTCCATGACTTAATATCAAATTGTAACTCTTCATTAATTTTCTTTCAAACCGCAAAGTATTCTAGCGTTGGTCCGTCATTACATCACGTTTTCGAATTGAAAATCGATTGCCACAAAATGGTACATTGTACATTATACATATTTACGCACTTGTATTTTCGATTGCGATGTTTAATTTAGCTATCAATCTTGAGTAACACTAAAGCAATCTGATGAGACAAGAATCTGTAAAAGGCAGCGAGCTTGTTAGAAGCACTCTTCATAATATCTGATAAATACAATGGATTTCAGGTCAACTAAATACCAACTTCGTTATCCAAAATGTAAATATTTGTTATGACGATTATTGCTGAGGCATCAAGGAAAAATTTTAAATCATAGGGGAGTAACGTAGGGAGTTTTACGTAATAGCCCGTCCCAACACTTAAATTGGTATAAATTAAACTTGCGTACTGAAAATATTAGAATCGTTCGAAATCATTTAGATATCTCTTTCAGACAATGCTGTCTGAAATTCAGTATTTTTGCGTTATATCCTTTCAAAAAAATTTCGCTCTTCTCAAAATTTAGAAGAAATATTGTCCAAAAAAGGAAAATACGATTGATCTGTCAAAATATACTTTCTGTTTTTCGTAACGTTGCGATAACAAAACTATTGCAGGAAATAATGTGATCAGTCACGCGAAACGGAAGTGACGTAGCGAAAACTACTGGACAGGTATAAATTCTGCAAGGTGCGTGGTTTCTTTTGTGCTATTGGTAGCGATTACGTGAGAAAGTGGTTTGCATTCTTAAATCTCGAGGCTTCACTCGAAGCTCCAGCTGTTTGCTTGTAGGAAGTTATTAACGATTCTGACCTCACCGAGGAAGGGTATAGTCCGATAATCACGTTCTGACGGAAACAAGTTTCCTTTGGTGCTCAACCTTTTAACAGCAATAAGTTTTCTCCTGAAAGACCGATTTTCTTTGGTTTTTTTGTTTTGGTTTCGCGTTTTTGTCCAGCTTTGTTAACAGCAGAGATATGGTAGGAAGACAATGGATGAAATGTGTATCTTGCTTAAAGTACGTTTTGGTTTTCTGGGGGTTGTTAGTCGCGGCGAAACCATCAACCACAGATTCAAACTCAAAGGAAACCTGCAATTTTGTCAAGACTGACTCTTCAGGGGAAATTCTGAGCCCGAGCTATCCCCAACCATATCCTGAGGACATTGAATGCACATGGGAAATAAGAATGCCTTTATTTGAAACTATAGTTCTTGTATTTGAGATGTTCAGCCTCAACTCGCCTTCAGGGGACTTCTTCTGTGAGAAAGGTGACTTTGTCAAAGTCTACGATGAGCAAGAGGGTCTTTTGGGCACATATTGTGCGGGGAATTTCCCCCCAAGGCAGATAACTTCGAAGGGCAATATCTTAAAAGTTGTTTTTAAGTCGCATAATCGAACAACAGAGAGTAAGGGTCTCAATCATCATGGTAGTTTTCGTGCAATTTTTTCCTCGTGTGGTGGGTTCTTCGCGGACGCTGGAGGTTTTCTTCAGAGTCCAAGTTATCCAGAGAGATTTCCAGCAGATATTCATTGTTTGTGGCAGATGAGAGTGCCCTCAGACTATGTAATCGAGCTTCGTTTCAAGGACTTTCAAATGGATGGGATGTATCCGTGCAATGTTGACTATGTTAGAGTGAAAGATGGTTTTAATACTAACTCTACTGAGTTAGGACACTTCTGTACCACGCGACTTCCCAAGGAGACTGATCCCGTTCGCTCTACGGATAACAAAATGTCCCTGGAGTTCAAATCATACAAAGAAAGCAATTCTCGAGGATTTAGGGCACGGTATACCCGAGTTCCTCATTGTAATGGGCTCTTGAAAAGTGATTACGGAAGGTTTACTTCTCCGGGTTACCCTGGTTCGCGGCAAATGGACGAAGCCTGTAGTTGGCTTATAACAGTCTCAGAGGGGAGGGTAGTATCATTGAGGTTTGAGTTCTTCGCTGTCGATTCTTCCATTGGGATGTTTTCAGTTTCTGGAGACTGTGGAGATGACTTTGTAGAAGTGTTTGATGGAACCAGCTCCGATGACCCCTCCCTTGGAAAATTCTGTACTGTTAATAATAAACCCACTGATATGGTGCGCTCAAGTGGAAGGCAGATGTTTGTAAGACTAAAAACAAGTCTGCAAAACACGGGAGATGGTTTTTCAGCCAGTTACTATGGTATGGATCCTTATAACCACTTTGCGGGATGCAGCATATTTGACCAGCAACTTTTGTTTACATGCAACAATGGTCAGAAGATCCAATGCCAATGGAAATGCGATGGTACAAATGATTGCACAGATGCATCAGATGAATTGCACTGTGCACCTTCACCAACTCCTGCAAGCCAGTCAAGTAGTGATATACGCAACTATGTCATAGTCATTCTCTCTATTACTGGTTCATGCTTGTCCATTGTATGCATTGGGTTTATGGTGGATCGTTTGAGACGGAAACGCACTACACGACCAAGAAGAAGAAGCAACCTTAGAAGACTACGCCGTTCAAGGCTCTCATCTGCTGTGGATGCCCCCTTAACAGATGAACCATCATCTCCTCCACCTCCTTATGAAAATGCATGCTATGGGGTGTCTTTCATTCAACCCCATCTAACTAATTCTTCTCCACAAAGAAGTAGTCCTGTTGCATTGCAGAATAGTAGACAGGGTCAAACCCCTGAGCAAGTTTTCTCTAATGGCAGTCAAGAAAATACTTCTGCAAGTTTCAGAACTGAACAAATCATTAGTGGTAATGCAGTCATAGGCACAGTCTCCCCTTCAGAGTCTATTAGTTCACTGAATGACACTGCTCCTCTTATACACAGATCTGAAAGTGTTATTGAACTTTAAGTGATAAAACTAAGTCGGTAAGTTATTTTATGGGTGTATGTACAGTATATAATTTGTTGATAATGATTTGGGTAGATTCATGACACTTCCAATTGAGTGATCAATTCTTCCCTAAGCCCACCCTTAGTCTATGGTGTGAAAAAATGCACTTATTTTTTTTTTCAATTCAAAGTATTTGTTGTACTTGTTTATGAGTGTTTTGCATTTACCACTGGTAACGAGTTTATTTGAACAACAATCATGCTCAAACGTCAACAGTCAACCTTTCAGGAGTGAAAAGTTATCAAGAAATATGACTGGGCACACTTTCCTCATTGATGCCCAAAGTGTCTTGTTCTTTGTTCAGGTTTAGATACAGGTTGCACCACATTATCTTACCTCAGAATGTAAGTTTTAAATATTCTCCAAGTATGTCCTTTGTTAAACAATTTT